GTTCTTCGCTGAATGATATTTTTCCTAGACGAGGTCCCTGATTTTATACCCGACGAGGAGAACATTTCTCCTCCTCCGACTACACAGTATGTGTGGAATGGGAGGGGATTCTAAGAAACGTCTATCGACTCATATTGTCTACTTCATGTAAAGTGAAGGTTAGGCAGGACATGGCTTGAATTGCACTCTAGTAAAAATTTGATACATAAATGCCCACAGTTAAAAGTACAAAATTTTTGGAAACGATTGTAATTATATTTTATATTTTTACCCAAATATCTTATTACTTCTAATGGAGGTTGTAAATTCCCAAAACTATCAAAGTAAAACGAGTGTGTCCCCTTCTTAAAATAGGCTACCCAATGCGTTCCTTCTGATGTCGAGTCTGCTAAATTTATTATTCCACATTCAGAATGATGAGGAAATTTCGGTATTTCATCTTTCATATAAACTCCTCGAAAATGAGGAATATTTTAAAGGCAAACTTCAATATATCAAAATTCGATAACGCTCTATTAGGTAGCTCATTTAGTAGTTTTTTGATTGCGTTTTTTGTTGGTATTATTATTATTTTTTGTAAATGATATACCATAACCTTTCTTGTATGGATGTAAATACAATCCCTTGCCTAACGCTACCGATTCCATTTTTCTATTATGCCTCTGGTTTTCCTCAAGTTGTGCCTTTGCCATCTTTGCATTGTTAATAGACTTTACAATTGCAGCGCTACCTGATGCTAAACTTCCCACAGCGCTAAGGGCTGTTAAAATAGGTACCAATGGTAAAAAACCACCAATTTTAGGGACTGCTATAACCCGTGGAATTACAACATTTTTCCTACACCCCATAGAGTTAGATACTGCAGAGCGAGCCACTTTTACTGCATTCAATAAGTCAAGAGGTTTATTCTTTCGCAATTCGATTGTTGCCTTTCTGATGATTGAGGCAAGAGTTTTTTTACAACTTTCTTTTTCTGCTGCTTTGTTCCCATCCCATAGTTTTTCTTTAGCTTCATCAAGTTGCTCACAAAATATGCTGCAGCTCTTTCACTAATGCTGCTATTCAATGCTTTTACACGATCCGAGCCCTATCAATTAAGATGGAATCTGCTTTATGTCGTTCACTCAAGTCCTTGCTATTTGAATATGCTATGTCGTGTTCCCGACAAGCCTCATCTAAACCATTGATCCCTCGGTCACCACGAAGTAATCGTTTCTCAAGGTTTGTGCCAGGTCCACAGTAATTGTACCCAGGTATATGAGCCTCAAAGGGTAAAGTGTTTATTAAATTATTTATGATACCAGTTCCCTGTTTCACATTTGATTTATGACTGATTATATTATAAAAATGTTTCCCCATTTTATATCAACCTCAATTAACGAATGATTGTCCTCGAATGAAGTACTTATCTTCAAATCATGCGTTTATTAAGACAAAATAAAAGTATCACAGTAAGAAACATTGAAGGTGGTGTGCATGGTGAAATTACTCATCCACGACACAGTTCATTGTTACCAAACACAATTAGAGCTTTAATTGTTGGACCATCCAATTGTGGAAAAACCAATGTGATGATAAGTCTTATCGAAAGTCCAAATGGCTTAAAATTTGAAAATATTTACATATTTTCAAAGAGTTTATATTAACCAAAATATGAGTATTTGGAAAATCTTGTGAAACCAATACGAGGAATGGGCAAAAAACAATTCCATTATTATATTTGATGATGTCGCATCCGAAAAACAAGATAATATTCGAGATTATTTTTATATGGGACGAGACAGGAAGATTGATTCATTCTATTTATCTCAAACGTATACACATATTCCGAAACATTTAATTCGAGACAACGCGAATTTATTATAATGTTTAAACAGGATGACTTAAACATGCGTCGTATATATCGAGATCATGTTAACAGCGATATGGATTATAATTCATTCATGAATATGTCAAGAAGGTGTTGGGAAGATAAATTTGGATTTCTTTTAATCTCTAAGGATGATGATATGAAAACTGGACGATACAGAAAAGGATTCGATCAGTTTATTATTCTCGAATAAATAATAATATAAGTATAATGAAGTTGATAAAAAACATACAGTTCACGATTAAGCTTCATAATGAGTACATCGCTAACAATTGCTTTAAATGGAAACACATCTGTACTAAGCGAACATTTTTTTCCTCAAATTGAGTTAAATCGTAATTATGAATGTGCTCTAATCGACTTTTATACAATCAATTCTATACCGAATGTAGATAAGGGGAATAATCTATTTCATATTGGAAACAAAGTCATAGAAATACCTATAGGCTCATATGTGTTTGAGGATATAATAAAATATATTTTTAATAAGCTCAAGGAATATGAACTTCACAATAGTGTAACAATTGAATGTAACACCAATACTTTACAAGTTCAAGTTGTTACTAAAAAAGAGACAGTATATTTCAATCATGAACGATCAGTTGGACGATTATTTGGATTTAATAAGCGTAAATGAAGACCAAATGAAAATGAAATTTACGTCTCGGATAACCCTGTAAATATTTTAAAAATAAATTCTGTTAGATTGGAGTGTAATATTGTTAGTGGATCATATGTGGGGAATAAACCAAATCATGTGCTTCATGAATTTGGAATCAATGTTCCGCCTGGATATAAAATGAACATTACACCACACAACTTGATTTATTTACCTGTCAACACCAGAGAAATAAGCACACTCGAAGTACGGATAACTGATCAAAACGGAGAATTAATTAATTTTCGTGGAGAAACTGTTTCAATTCGTCTTCACTTACGATCAACAGAATGATTATTTATAATAAAAAGACGTTATAGCTCCTTTGATAACATTATTAAATCCACAGTTGAAGTGAAAGCATCATCATCTTCAAAATCATCATCATCAACCCGAGGTCCTTCAAATCAACGGCCGACTCTCACATTAAAAAATAAATTGATTTTAAAATCATTGCGATTTAATATTAAATAAATAATTCAAATGAATGAATGTTCAAGAAAAACCTGTCAATGATGAAAGCATTGTTAAAAAAGAACTACATACTTATTATCCATATCAACAAAACTTCAAGCCAAATGATGAAGTTCGTATCACAATACAGAACCAAGATTTGTATGTCCTTCCATGTGAAAGTTTTCTCCACTTTGAGGGAACACTTAGCAAAATTATTGACACAAATACAGGAACGACTTCGACAAATGGAGTTACTGGGATGCTTAAAAATAATTGCATGTCCTATTTTCTAGATGAAATAAGATATTAGTTAAACGGGTGTGAATTGGATAGGACACGGTTTACTGGAATTACAACAACTATTAAGAACTTTCTCTCAGTCGGCCAACAGGAAGGAGTTCTTTGTCGTAATGCCGGGTGGAGTGGTGGAGACAATATTCCTTCGGGAGGACATTTCAGCTTTTCTGTACCTTTAAAAATGTTGATGGGATTCGCTGAAGACTACAAGAAAGTAGTGTTAAATTGTAAACATGAGCTCGTTCTCTTGCTTACAAAAAACACTGATGATATGTATATTAAAACAGTTGATGGAAAAACACACAATATTGCTATACATAACATATGTTGGAAGATTCCCCACATTATTCCAAGTGACAGTGCTAAAATTAAAATGTTTAATGTAGTGTAAAGTGGAGCTACTTCCCCACTCGCATTCCGGAGTTGGGATTGTTATATTAATCCAACATTGGTACAGGGAACACATCATATCTGGAATGTAAAGTTGTCTGCAAATAGGGAACGCCCACGTTTTGCTGTTATTGCATTTACGTTAAATGGACAACTAATTACAAACAATTTGAGAAATGCAAAAGTATATCTAAATTCTGAAGTCTATCCCTATGAGGATTTGAATATTAAATATAATGAGAATCGGTTTGCCGTCTTGTATGACATGTATACAAAATTCCAAGAGAGCTACTACAATCGAGAACCACGGGCACTTCTATCACCCATCGAGTTTATAAGGAAGGCTCCTGTCGTTGTTGTTGATCTCTCATACCAGAATGAGTCTGTAAAATCAGGACCGATTGATGTAAAACTTTCCACAGAGCTAAGTGTGGCGAGTGAGATGAATACAAAGGTATATTGTCTTCTCATCCATGATCGACTAGTTGAATATACACCATTGAGTGGATTAGTTCAACGTATCGTCTAAAAATTTTTAGAGGATAAGATAATTCAATTTTAAATTTAGTTTCATTTTCTGCCAGTGTATAAGATTAATACATTGTTGATAAGGGGGCCATGGTCGATGCTTGCAGTCGGCCATTTTGCAAGGCACAGAGGAATGATGAACATACTGGCAGTGAATACGGCCCCTGTATATAGTTTTTGTTTACTGTGATCCACTGCACTATGGGGCGAACGACCTTTTATCAGTCCAACACCAGTTTATTTTGTAATTCTAAAATTACAATTTTTTTAACCGGAATCAATCAAATAACAAATATCTATCACAAAACATCAATATGTAATGTTACATTCAAGAAACTTTAACAGCTGTTAAGTCTTCTGTTGCGCCCGCGTTACTTCAATCACGGGTTAATCGTTTAAAGATATGAAAGCTTACAGTGACAACAAGTTAAATAAGAAATTAATATGTGTAATTTATTTAACAGTCAATCCATTTTCTAAGGTTTTTAAAATATGTTGGTGATTGTGAATTGTATAAAGTTACTGTGGTGTCCCAAAAAAACTGTTTTATTTGTTGCATTTCGGGTGGGAACGGGCTGAAGGACTATCGATATATCGATAGGGATAGGTGGACTTTGTTTACCAGGAGGGGGCGAGGAAAATTAGCGAACCGGGAAGTTCGAATGCGGCCTAAGAGAAAGGGTTCTTGTCCTTTCTCTCGGCAAGGGCAACGAAAAGTAACGGCTGGAGTCTGGAACGGAGGAAAGGATCCGGGCTATAAAGGGCGGTGCGAGCGGAAATAAACGAGGAAAAAAGATCTGGATGGATAACGTGGAGAGTGATTTTCAAGCGGTTAAAGAAAAAGAAAAAAAACGTGATCCCGGAATCGAGGTGGACGACGTGACCGAACGCCACCCAGTGCCGTTTCCTGAGCCGTCGCCTCAGAGCCATCCAGTGCCGTTTTCCCGGAGCCATCGCCAGAGCTGCTGGCCACCGCGTCGCCGCCGCAACCCAGGACCGCCGGCCAGAGTGACCGGCGCAGCCAAGTCCGCCGGCCCACGCAAACGTCGGAGCCGTCGCCGCCGCCGCAGCCCTAAGACGACCCCCAGATCCGGCGAGCCGCCGCCGCGGCACAGGTCCGCCACCCAGAGCAGCCGGCCGAGCCATTGCAGGAGATTGCCGTCAGCTGCTACCATCCGGTGAGTCCGTTCCGGATGGGACGATATAAGGGGCGAATTGCCTATTAATTTCTGCCCAGGCAGCTGCCGCCGACCTGCGGGCAGCCCTTACTACCCGGCGCCAAACCAGGGCGAGCTGGAATAACAAAAAATTTAAGTTGTTGTTGTTAGTTGTAAGACATTAGTGTTATTGTTAGTTATTGTTAGGTGTAAGGCATTAGTGTTATTGTTAGTTATTGTTAGGTGTAAGGTATTAGTGTGCTTGTCTCGCCCTCCGGATTGATCGTATCCTGGGTCCGGGATTGGTGCATCCCATGCGCTGCGACCAATAGGGGAACGGGGAAGAAGCCATTAGTAAGCTCTCAGTTTTGTTTAAGCCCTGACCCTAGGCAATTTCTCATGAAGCTCCAGCAGGGATAGTAGGTGAAAGAGGGAAAATTTCTTGTTAGCCAATCGTGGCCAATTTGTGGCCGAAAAGCTTCTCCTCCCCCAACGTTGTCGGTCCCCAAGAAAAGGCAGCCTTGGTGCAAGCGCATCCCTGGCTGAGGCCACGTTCTCGCCGTGGACGAGTTGGCGCCTTAAACTATATTTGTAACTCTGCTAAATGTAAGATGCCAAAAATTTCTAGTCCATAGTCAGTAAAAGATTGAAATAAAAATGGAGTAAGTTTTACATGCGGGGAGATGGGCCAGTCGCTAAACCGCCTGGAGTAAGCTCCAGCCCGCCGGAGATGGGTGATGCCCCGAAATGTGGAGGAGGCATCACTGGATGGGTGGGCGCGTCGTGGCGGAACCAGCCAAGCCACAAATTCAACCCGGCAGCCTAATTTCTGTTATTTGTTTACCTTTTTGTAATGCTAAGTGATGACACTTGTAGTTTAGTCCGAGACGTCCGATTAAATCGGTATTTTTAATTGTGCGGACTGGGGCATTGGGTCGGACCCAGCCCTGGGCACCCTGAGCTAGCCCGGCGTTGCCCAAGGAAAGGCAGTTCCGTTATATATTAAAAACAAATCATATAATTATTGTAAATTGAATTCTAACAAGTACTTTTAGTTTTATTTTCTGCCAGTGTATAAGATTAATTCATTGTCGATAAGGGGGTCATGGTCGATGCTTGCAGTCGGCCATTTTGCAAGGCACAGAGGAATGATGAACGTACTGGCAGTGAAAACGGCCCCTGTATATTGGTTTTGTTTACTGTGATCCACTGCACTATGGGGCGAACGACCTTTTTTCAGCCCAATAGTAGTTTATCTTGTAATTCTAAAATTAAAATTTTGTTTAACCAGAATAAAATCAATCAAATAACAAATATCTATCAAATAACATCAATATGTAATGTTACGTTCAAGAAACTTTAACAGCTGTTAAGTCTTCTGTTTCGCCCGCGTTACTTCAATCACGGGTTATCGTTTAAATATATGAAAGCTTACAGTGACAAAAAGTTAAATAAAAAATTAATATGTGTAATTCATTTAACAGTCAATCCATATTCTGAGGTTTTTATAATATATTGGTGATCGTGGATTGTAGAAAGTAACTGTGGTGTCCCAAAAAACAGTTTTGTTAAAAACAAATCATATAATTATTGTAAACTAGCTGTACCCTGCCACGTTTCTCTGTGGCATATTGTGGTTAAGAGGGCACTTCTGAATACATCAATGTTCCGGCAAAATCATCTTCCTGGCATAAGGTGAAGAAGGCAGTCAGAGTTGTCGCTGGCGGATTCAGGACTCTTTCTTACACATTTCTTTCTGTGAAATAGATACGTTGACCATTCTCCAAATGGACTGCCAAGTGAACTAAAGCTGGATAGCGTTCATGAATGGGGAACGAACAAATTCTCCATGCAACCTCGTTGCTGCTTTTGTATCTTCCAGCCTGGTATTGAGATATTTCATCGACAACTCGTACTGCATTGCTGTCCCCATTTTCTGCCTGAACACCAAAATCTGCCATATCGCTGCCTTTATTCACGTACTTGCAGATATATTTAATCGATTTCACGGAATTGCAATATTTTACGTTGATGTGCGCTTTGTATGATTTTGACAATAGTGTTGAGTATGGAACCACCCAACGATTGTCTACCTCAATATCACCAATTCTCATGTTTAAAGTTGCCGAAGTCCCTCCATCTTCAGTTGACCGTCTCCTATACAGAGGATATCCATCGTCCCCTGTTACGGTGTTGGCTGTAAATGCTCGAGGATATCGCTTGGAACACTTCCCGTCTACCATGCATGGTGAACTTCGGTTGAGGGTACCACATGGGCCATGGATCATGTTCTTGATGACAACTGCATGCAAATCTGTATCAACCTCTGCCCGTGGAATCTCAGCGCATATCACATTGTCAATTTCGTCTGGAGTAATTTTATCATACAGCCAAATCAGTATGTGCGCATGCGGCAATCCTCTCTTCTGACATTCTACTGAATACATCCAGCACCGCTCAGATCCCAAAACTCCATGTTTCACAATGAAATCCATCAGTGACTTGAGCTTTTGTCTAAAAACACGGGCTGTGATGTCATGCCTATTCCTATACGATTGTCCAGGAAATAACGGCTGTACTAACTCGTCCCAAGCTGGATTGCATGTGAAGGTGATAAATAAGTCTGGACGGCCGTAGCAACGAACATATGCCTGGGCATCTTGAGCATATTCATGCATGTGGCTCGGACTACCTATGTATGAGGATGGCAAAATCGTGAGCTTTCCAACGTTGGTTGTATTACGGTCATTCATCACAGCATCCCGCAAATGGATATATTCCTCGGACCGAAGTTTCTTCTGATTCAATCGGAGGAACAGCTAACGTTGTTTCAATTTTGCATACATATCGACAATGTACTGATGAAACAACTGACGACATTTCAATATATGATTGCAATCGGTCCTCCGAACCATTAACCTGTATGAGTAAAAGTTCATCGCGCAGCCGCGTCTCTCGGATGGAGGCCCGTTCTTCGTCAGTCATATTCGTAATCTTACGTCTTTTTGCTTCTGTATTGCGAATACGACGACCCAATCTCGACTTCTTTGGTGGCATGACTTCGTTTCTTACTGAACCTGAACAAAAAATAAAATTTGTATCTCCAATTTCTTCTTTCAATATGTTTTAATGTTTGACAGGAAATGCTTTGATTTGCTTGTAGAGGGCGCAGTAGTAGGGGCACGGGGAAACGCTAAAAATAGATATATTCGCAACCGCAGATAAGCTATCAACATCAAAAGTAGTCAATAACCGAGCTGGAACCTCAACGCATCTTCTCTAAAAATTTGGGCATAAACGGTTCAGAACTTTTCAAGTTTCTTCTTTCAATATGTTTTGAATGTTTGACAGGAAATGCTTTGATTCAGCTGGCTGCCTGTAGATGGCGCAGCAGTAGGGGCACTTGGAAACGCTAAAAAAATAGATATATTCGCAACCGCAGATAAGCTATCAACATCAAAAGTAGTCAATAACCGAGCTGGAACCTCAACGCATGTTGTGTAAAAATTTGGGCTTAAACGGTTCAGAACTTTTCGAGTCTATGAAGGATGTAGACACGAACAGAGCATTTTTATATATATAGATTGAATTCTAACAATTACTTTTTGTTTTATTTTTCTGCCAGTGTATAAGATTAATTCATTGTCGATAAGGGGGCCATGATCGGTGCTTGCAGTCGGCCATTTTGCAAGGCACAGAGGAATGATGAACGTACTGGCAGTGAAAACGGCCCCTGTATATTGGTTTTGTTTACTGTGATCCACTGCACTATGGGGCGAACGACCTTTTTCAGCCCAATAGTAGTTTATCTTGTAATTCTTAAATTACAATTTTTTTAACCGGAATCAAATCAATCAAATAACAAATATCTATCAAATAACATAAATTTGTAATGTTACGTTCAAGAAACTTTAACAGCTGTTAAGTCTTCTGTTGCGCCCGCGTTACTTCGATCACGGGTTAATCGTTTAAATATATGAAAGCTTACAGTGACAAAAAGTTAAATAAAAATTTAATATGTGTAATTCATTTAACAGTCAATCCATTTTCTGAGGTTTTAAAATATGTTGGTGATCGTGGATTGTAGAAAGTAACTGTGGTGTCCCAAAAAACTGTTTTATTAAAAACAAATCATATAATTATTGTAAATTGAATTCTAACAAGTACTTTTAATTTTATTTTCTGCCAGTGTATAAGATTAATACATTGTCGATAAGGGAGCCATGGTCGGTGCTTGCAGTCGGCCATTTTGCAAGGCACAGAGGAATGATGAACGTACTGGCAGTGAAAACGGCCCCTGTATATTGTTTTTGTTTACTGTGATCTACTGCACTATGGGGCGAACGACCTTTTTTCAGCCCAATACTAGTTTATTTTGAAATTCTAAAATAAAAATTTTTTTAACCAGAATCAAATCAATCAAATAACAAATATCTATCAAATAACATAAATTTGTAATGTTACGTTCAAGAAACTTTAAAAGCTGTTAAGTCTTCTGTTTCGCCCGCGTTACTTCAATCACGGGTTAATCGTTTAATATATAAAAGCTTACAGTGACAAGTTAAATAAAAATTAATATGTGTAATTCATTTAACAGTCAAACCATTTTCTAAGGTTTTTAAAATATGTTGGTGATCGTGGATTGTAGAAAGTAACTGTGGTGTCCCAAAAAACTGTTTTATTAAAAACAAATCATATAATTATTGTAAATTGAATTCTAACAAGTACTTTTGTTTTAGTTTTCTGCCAGTGTATAAGATTAATACATTTCCATAAGGGGGCCATGGTCGATGCTTGCAGTCGGCCATTTTGCAAGGCACAGAGGAATGATGAACGTACTGGCAGTAAAAACGGCCCCTGTATATTGTTTTGTTTACTGTGATCCACTGCACTATGGGGCGAATCGACCTTTTTTCAGCCCAATAGTAGTTTATCTTGTAATTCTAAAATAAAAATTTTTTTAACCAGAATCAAATCAATCAAATAACAAATATCTATCAAATAACATCAATTTGTAATGT